ATGCTGTGTCCCCTCCAGCGCCGTGGGAGTTCCAGTTTCTCCACAACCTCACCAGCACTTGGTATTGCCATTTGAGTGAGAGAAAGGAGACTGTGGTTTTAATTTGCATTTCTCTGATTAACACATATCTCCTGTGAAGTGTATTTCCTGCTTCTGCATTTCTCTGTGAAACTGAGCAGGACCCCATGGGGCAGTTCCAGGTGCAAACCCTTTCCTAATCCCCTGTTTTCTGTTTGCAGGAAGTAGGCGTCATTCAGTCTCCTTGGCCCTCCCGAGTGCCAAAGGGCAGATTTGGCCAATTGCTACACAGGGGGGGAGGGAGTGCGACGCAAGGGAGGAAGAGCCCAGAAACTACAGTGCAGCTGGGGCAGGTCCCGGCTCCTCCTCAAGGAACATGCAGAAAATTATCTTGTTTTTCTGCAGGAACTAAGGCCCCCACCCAGGCGGAGGATGGCAACTTCTGGCTGAGCACAAGATTCTGGAAACTTCACCTGGTTACCTCACCATCAACCAATCAGAAGAAAGTCACACATCCTGCCTCCCTCACCCCCAGTTTTACCTATGAAAACTTCTCCCTAAAAACCATGGGAGAGTTCTGGGCTTCTGAGCACAAGACACCGGTTCTCGCTTGGCTCTGCAGTAAACCTTTCTCTGCTCCAAACGCCAGCGTTTCGGTTTGTCTGGCCTCACTGTTCGTGGGGCACGTGAACTTGCCTTCAGTAACATTTCCTATGACTGATGCTGTACTGCCTGGGACACCGTCTGTTGATGAAAAACTAAGCAGTTGATCTAAGAAAGAAACGGAAAATGTTATTTGAGCCAAACCGAGGATTATAACCTGGGAACAGCCCCTCAGAAAGCCCCGAGAATCATTCTGCCCATTAGAAGTCAAGGCACAATTTTTGAGGTGGAGGGCAGTGTGCTAAATGACACATTGTTGACAGTCTATACAATCCAGGTCTGGCTCCTTACGAGATCAAGAAGGAATTGTGGGGCCAACATCCTTCAAGTCCAAGGACACCATTCTCAGACGTCCGCCTGCGATCAATCCCTCAACAGATAAAGTACATTCTTTCCTGGGCGTGTTTCCCCAACAAACTGGCAGCCTCAGGTCATGCCCAACCTCACAACAGCTCCGGCTGGCTTGTTTCAGCCCACACCTCCACCTTATCAGAGCCATAGACCCTAAACTTCTTACCTCACCTGCAGCCAATCAGAGACGTGTGCACAAGCCGATCAGGCTACCTTGTGATCCGACCTGATAAAAGACCCCAACACCCGGCCCTCGGGGCTCACACGAGCACCTCTCGCCTGTGGCAGCGTGACCTAACACACTCCTCTCTGTTCTCGCCCTTTGCCTTTTGTACCTGCTTTTACCAACCTGCACGCAACACCGACTGCTGAGTTGTGTTCACGACAGGAATGTTATCTTCAAGGAGCTGTCTTGTTGGTGTTGGGACAGTGTTGCTCTTTATGGTTAAGCAGTATTTCTGTTGATGGGGAGCTCGAAGCATAATGCAGATACACAACGCACAAGAGAGGGGAGACAGGAGGCCAAGTGGCAGAGAACACGTCTTTTATGTTTAAATTTTTCTTGTCTTGCCATAAAATGTGAATTTTATTTCGTATTTCTGAACATAGTACTACTCATCTGGGGCAGATTCCCAGAATCAAGGCAAGGACAACTGACCCATCCTGGAGAAAATGAAGCCACCTCACCGCCCCTCCGAGCCCCTCCCCAGGCACCAGGCCCGCCTGAGGTAGCCAGGGCCCGGAGGAGCGGCCAGGCCTGAGGAGAGGATGCGCACCCTGGG